AGTAATCATTTTCTTCTGAGGGGTTTAAGAATGCACTAATGAAAACTGGTCTGGGTTGATCATCAGTTCCTAAGTTGATTTCTTTGAGTTGATCAACAGTAGCCTGCCCCCCGTCTTCTAGTGTTGGTGGAGCTTTCTCGATGTCATCAGGTTATTCAGAGTCAGGTTCCTCTTCAATAGTGATGTGGTATGAAGTAACACAAGATGATTCGCTAATGTCTTCTGTTTTATCCACTTCTTTTGCTTGATTAATGAATATAACGGTTCGCCTTCGAGCTTTTAATGTAACATCATTGGTGACATCTACCTCTGTCTTATGTTTCATTCGCGAGGGCACTAGGCTCCGAACTTCACTATTATTCACCACGTCGATGTTAGTTTTCTCTGACTTTCCACTCTTGCTGCTTCTTAGTGATGCATCATTAATAGTACCAATTCGATTAAATACTGACTTTCGAGATTGAGGTTGTGGAGATTTTCTTCCTTAGTCATGAAAGCTCATTCTATTAAAAACAGAGGTACGAGGCAAACAGTTGACATGAGAACTTGAGACATTTGACTTTTGGCTTGACAACCTGTTGAATACAGATGCTCGATCACATGGAGCTCCTATACGGTCGAAGACTGATTTTTGATGCATACTCTATTGGTCTTGTTCATGTTTGACTTCTTCAAATCCAATGTAAAAAGTGTTTGACTTCTTATCCTTTTTTATGATGTGAATTCGAAGTAGCTCAAAAGGTACGAAACCGATACCAGACTTGGGTGGAATGATTTTATGCCCTTGATCTTTCAACTTCTTCTGTGTCTCATTGAGGCCATGCATTTTCTCACCGATGACCTCTGAATTCAGTTTTCCAAGATTTACAGGATTTGTAAAATCATATCCCGACTTAGCCATAAGTTAGTATGCTTTAGGATCGAATCCTTCATCAGTCCTTTGTTTTGGAAGTGATCCATGATTGACCAGAGATTGAGAAGGCCGCATGAACCCTTTTAACGGAGACTTGGAAGGTGAAGACTTTTGAATCTTGGTGAGAGGAGGAGTTAACTCTCCTTTCAGCTTTTGCACATCTTCTTTTTCTTTGGTTTGTGACATCTTCAATTTAAATTATTTGGTTTCACGTATTTCAATAATATGTGACTGCCCTTCTTGTCGTTGAGATTTTGGAACATACTTTAAAACAGGTTTCGTCCGATGTGCTTTTATCGAGACCCCTCGCATTTTAGCTACCCTTACAATGTCTGTCACTGAAACATCTAATGGATCACTTAACGCTTCTTTTGTTTTTGTAGATTGAATCTCTTGTATCGACGGATGGCTTGAGATGGGCACTTCCGAAGGTGTATCAGGATCGATATAGAACTTGGCATCGACAAAATGAGATTCTGCTTCTATAAATGATTTATGGTCCGCCACAACTGTTTGTACGCCATTCTTATAGAATTTAAAGCACTGATGAAGAGTAGATGGAATGACACCATTACTATGTATCCAAGGCCTTCCTAACAACAAGTTGTAGGACATCTTTGCATCAGTAACATGGAATAAGGTTTCAGCTTGGAGCTCGTCAATAATTAGTTTTGCCCGAATCATGCCAATAGCTTTCTGTCCTCCTTGGTTAAAATCTTGAATAATAAGATGGCTATAAGATAACTCGTCGACTGTGATGCCGAGATTTTTCATCGTAAATTTTGACATGACATTCACCGCTGATCCACCATCAACAAGAATTCGAGTAACTCTTTGTTCATTTATGTAACCGGAAACAAAAAAAAGACAATTGTGCGGCTTCGAACCCAACTGAAGATCTTCGTCAGTGAAAATAATTGGTGCATAAAATTAATCCAGCATACCTCTAACTACTTTATCATCATCGAACTTTTCAATGATGGCAGCATCCTTTGCATGATTCTCCACAGTTTAGGCTTCATCTTGATCCTTGTTATTCTCACCATCAGGGCTCGTTTTAGTTGAAACCATGTAAGCTGTCACAACTTCGTCATCTAGATATCCTTCTGGAAAGAACTCTTGTAAAGTAATAGGCTTTTGGATCCTTTGGCTTATAGAGGCGTGTTTGGTTGACTGTGCCTTCTTGACCCATTTTTTGTTATGACCAGACTGTTTATGGCGATATTGAGGTTTCTTCTTCCTTTGCCCCCTATCAGAATAACTAGTCTGAAAAATGTCAGCTCGTTGCTTCTGTGGTTTATTTCTTATCACTAGAGTCCATCCTTCTTCATCATCCTGAGGAAAAACCCTTCCAAAGGTTGAAACGTCAAGTGCACTCCATTTGCCAAGAGAGATGGGGATTAATTCCAATGAGCCAAACTGGATGGTTGTGCAATACATCTCAGAAGTTGAAGGTTGAGAACGAGCACTCCCCACTACAGAGAGTTGTCACAATAGTAGTAGTATGATTTGAAGTTACAACTTCGTCCGTGTCCAACAAGATTTTTCCTTGTTTTACCAGGTTCATCACCACCTCCTTGAAGATAAAACACTTATCAATTGGATGACTAATAATACGATGACATTTGCAGTATTTTGGATCGTTCACACGTCCCATCTCTGAGGGCATTTGCATTCAGGAAGTTCTATAACTTTACTTTAGAGTAAACATTCCAAGATGACAAGGACATCGGAATCGGGGAAGGGGTATTCCTTCTTCTCTAACTCCTTTAGCGTAGGACGCTGTCTTTCCCTCTCTTGAAACTGGCGAGGCTTTTTATCATCCTTCTTATCATCTTTAACAGATATCTTGATTGGGGTGGTTGAGATAGCCATGGAATCTTTAGCAGCGGTCTTTGACGACTTATCACCCTTCTTCTAGTCTTTCTTATCCTTGCGTGGTTCTATGGCCATGGGACTTGTGCCTTCATGGGATTTCATATTGATCTCCATGTCATGGGCACGTGTTGCCAATTCTTCAAATGTGCGAGGTTTTATACCTTGCAGAATGTAAAGAAGGCCCCAATGTATTCCCTGCATACACATCTCCACATCAGAGATTTCTGACAATCGGTCCTTGCAGTCAAGACTGAGTGCTCTCCATCGATTAATGTAGTCGATTACAGGCTTATCCTTCCATTTTTTCGTGTTAGTCAACTCTATCATACTAACAGTACAACGAGTGCTATAGAACCTGTTCAAGAATTCTCGTTCCATTTGGTCCCAACTATCAATTGACTCTGACTTTAGGTCGGTGTACCACTCGAACGCGTTTCCTTTAAGGGAATGGACAAACTGTTTAACTAGTAAGTCCCCCTCTGTTCCGGCATTGTTGCAAGTCTCTACAAAATGGGCAATGTGTTGCTTGGGGTTACCTTTTCCGTCAAATTGCTGAATCTTCGGAGGTTGGTATCTTACATGCATCCTCATATTGTCGATTCTCCTTGTATAGGGCTTTGAGTACTCTGTGAGATGCCTCTGTATTGGGCTCGGATTGTATTCGTTATCATATCTTGCAATTGTGCGATAGATAATGAAAAGACTGAAGAAGCATGATTGGTTTGACTAGCTGCCTGTTTAGTCACCGGCGTCTGGTTTTGACTACCACCTGTTCTATCACCGGCGTCTGTTTGGGGTCTTTCATGCGAGTACCTTGTGCGATAGAATTAAGATTCTCCGTCGGCATTGCTATGGAAGACGGTGGTGGTGTGAAAGTTGCACGATTCCCAGTTGGCGGTGCTGTGGAAGATGTAGGATGCCCATATTGTACTGGTGATTCACCAAAGGTCTGAACTTCCAATTTGTTCATTAGCATAGCGATTTGTAAGTCCTTCTCTTCAACAGTCTTTGTGAGGTTCTCAATGGCACGAGACATAGTTGCTAGTTATTCCTCCACCGTGGCAGCTCCAGTCATCATAGCAGCGACCACATTTGAGTATAATAAGCCTTGAGAGTCAACGTTTCTTGAAGTGATTGAATACTCCGAAGTCTGACGTGGTGACTCTAGGGGTGAACCGACACTAGAGCGAGCATCATGGATGGAATGAGGTGAATCTGGTGGCGGAATCTCCTCTGGAACAACGTCAGGGTTCTTGACATGTTGGGTTTTCACGTTTGCCGGCTTTGCAGGATTGGTTTTCACCAAGTCTTGCTGATGTTTGGATGAAGCCATCGCCTGGGACTTGCTACGTGTCACAGAGCCCGCCAAGGTACTTCCATCACTTGATTTGGCCTTCGTGCCACTTTTCATGGCGGCTTTGGTGTCGACCTTTGTGGTAGCGATATTCTTTTGGGCTTTCTTCTTTGTCGGAGTTTTAGGGGGAGCCATAGAATCTGATAGAAAAAGAAACTTGATGGTAGGAGAAAAGATGAGAGGCAAAAGATGTCCCACCGGGCATGCCACAAATTTGTACAAACAAATTTTGTACTCTGCAATAAAGACAAAATATGGGCAAAATAATAATTTATTAAATCAGAAATATTTGGAGTACAATCCTTTGTAATATCTTTTACAAAAAGAATGGTCCTCTGATTCGATTTCCTTTTTATTGTTGGTTGGTTGGATCCAAGGGCTGTACGAGCTTGATCTTGAATCACCATGAAATTTGATGAAGAACGACACGTCTTTGACTGTGCTTGTTGTTGATCACCGTTAAATTTGATAAAGAACGACACGATTTGATGTGCTTAGTGTTCTTTGCTTTTGGGTTTGGATGTTGGGGATGAGAGTTTCTATATTTCTCTCTGGAATTCTAGATTTCTGAATTCTGACTTTGTGTACCCTTCTCCCTTCCTCCAGGCCTCTATTTATAGGCTTCTTGGATCCATAGGATGATGACACACGTTCTCTCTGATAAGGAAAATATCATAACTGGGCCGGAAGAGATATATTAGGATAATTATCCTTAAAAATAATTATTCTAAATATATTTTATTAGGAATAATTATTCTTTTTATTTAACCATCTGGATTGGGCTTAATTAAATAATTTAAGTGGACCTAACTTGAACCAATTAAATAACTTAATTAAACATTAGGCCCATATTTAATGGGTACATTTGTCCAAATCAAAGTCCACTAAAATTTTAGTGTCTACATTAATGAGTTCAGCTTCACTAAGAGAGGGCCCCAAACATTGCTTAGTGTAGGCCCCAAGCCAAGCATCCGCACACGACCCCTTCTCTCTTCTCCCCTCACAACGGAGTACAAATCATCGGAACTGCCAATAGACGAGTCAGAGTATTGGCTTGCTTGAAGATCTTTTATGCTTTTCTGCAGCAAAAAAAAAAAAAAAAAAAAAAAAAAGCGCCTATATGTATTAAAAATTATTATTGTTCTACTATTCTAGTTTGGGCCAATTTCCCTGGTTGGGCTCTATGCCCTATTGGGCCCAATGCAAAAAAGAAAACAATAAAGTGCTTTTATTCTAATTTTTAGCTAGTTCCATAATTAATTACCGAATAAATTGAGAAAAATTGATTTGGCATGCTTTAACCTTCTACAACTGCAAGAACTTGACAGTGAAAAAGCTTAAGATTGAAGATGCACAACAAATTCACATTTCTTTTGAGAAATGTGTGAATGTTGTATCTTCTAATCTCATGGTGACAGCACCCAAGAATAGCCCCAACACTGATGGGATTCATGTCGCAAACACCCAAAACATCCAGATTAAAAGCTGTGCTATTGGAACAGGTACACTTCAAAACATAACTCACCCAAATACTTCTAATACACATATATATGTTTCTAATTGATAAAGATCCTAATTAATTAATGTGTTTAAAGGTGATGATTGTATATCTATTGTGAGTGGGTCTAAGAAGGTACAATTCATAGACATAATTTGTGGACCAGGTCATGGTATCAAGCCTTCCATTCGTATCTCTAACTAAATTTTGTACAATTTGATGTGAAATGTTTCAAGTTCTTTTGATATATAATGTGCATAAATTAAATTAATGTTCTATTTTATTCCTATATACATATAGAGAGTGAAGGGGTAGAAAATTCCCTAACCATCACAAGCAAAAAAATTGTCCGAGAGTTATGGAGATCGAGCAGAGGCGAGACGGGTTAGCCTTGCAGCTGAGAAATGGAGATCGAGCAGCTGGTGAGAGATCGAGACAGAGTAGAGGAGAGCGGCTCTTGCAGCTGAGAAACGGCCTGGTCGATCGAGATAGAGCAGAGGAGAGACGGTCGGCCTGAAGATACAGCTAGGGCTTCAATTTGAAGATGAGATAATAGTTTAAGTTAGATGAAACAAATGGTCAGACGAAACAATGGTTTAAGTTAGATGAGATAAAATGGTGAAGTTAGAAACAAAATTGTGAAATAATATTGGAGCCCCAAATTTTCCCACAATACAAAAACCAAACCCGTCAAAAAATTGAACCAAAAAAAAAAAAAGATCATCACATCTAATTCCAAAATACAAAAACCAAACCCGTCAAAAAATTGAACAAAAACCACTAATCCAAAATACAAAGACATTCATAAATTGAGAATTATTATCTCAATTTTCTACTTTGTTCAACCTGAACTGTAAAAACTCGTTTATCCAAAAATGACTAACATTTTTATATTAAAACACTAAAGACTCAAAATTCAACTATAAAAATCACTGAACTGAACTGATGAAACCCATTAATTCTAAATGACTGAACTTTAATAATCTTGAACAATCATATTGTTTACTACTGAGATGAAAATTTAAAAAACCCTAATTCGATGAACCACAATAAAATTCAATCGTCTGAGAATCCAACAGATGCGGTAAAACTAAAACAGACCCATCATTCTACTGAATCAAAAACAAGCACGACTAACCCTAGAATTGTGTAAAATGAATGATCAGTGAGAAATAAAACAACGAAACCACGAAGAAATTAAGATGAAACAGAGAGGTACCTAAGAGAGGCTTCAGCGAGAACGTTTTGGGAGGAAAATCTAGTGAGTAAAATCTCCAAATGACATAAACTAACAGCTCTTGGAGATCGAGTAACTGGTGAGAGATCGAGTAACTGGTGAAAGACGGCCTGAAGAGAAACCTAGGGCTTCAACTTTGTAAGAGACGGGTTAGCAAACATCAATCAAGGGCTTCAGCTGAGAAATGGAGATCGAGCAGTGAGAGATCGAGACAGAGCAGAGGAGAGACGGATGACGATACAGATAGGGCTTTATTTCAGATGAGTAAAATGGTAAAGTTAGATGAGAAGTCAGCAAGTTAGTGAAGTTAGAAACAGTAGTAAAGTGAAATAATATAAGCGCCAAATTTTCTCGCAATAAATAAATACACTAAATTTCGCACTTACGCGTTCATTTAATACACGCCGGTTAAAGTACAAATATACCAGTCATAAAAAGAATGCTGGGGAATGCCTCAATTGTTGTAGTGTTTAATTATGACATTATGATGAACGTTGGTGAATGTTATTATGACATTATAAATTAAAAAAATTATGCATTAATAAATTCAAAAACTTTTAAAAAAAATAATAAATATAATATAATTAGAGAAAAAAATAAAATGCAAATATCATCTCTTTAAAAATATTTTAAAATAGTTTCAACAATATGTACATTCTCATTTATATTAAAATGAATTTTAATACATTCTCCATCTTTTTTATGCTCTTTTTTTCACAAAAAATTTATGACTCATTCTTAAAAGAAGAAAAATTGTTCATTTGTTGCCGAGTCGGTGTACGTAGCAAAGAAAGCCCAACAAAAATAATAGTAATAAAAAGGACAATCTTCCATTTTGTGGGGGCCATGCAACCTTTCTTATGAAAAAAAGAAAAATGGCAAAAAGAATTGTTCCGCCGCCGGGGTTCGAACCCGGAATTTCTCAACTGAAATTTCCAAGTGTGCTACAGCGGATTATATGTCTAGCACTTTCGTTATATTATATATATAGGTTTCAGTTAGATGTTTTATTTTTCAAGTCTGTTAACAATTAGTGGCTGCAATGGTGGGTGACATGATAGGCCAGGCCTGCCCTTAGTTAAGTATTCTCCTAATATTTTTTTGTTTCAGAAAACTGAAAAAAAGAAAGAATATAATCTAAAACTTATTTGGTTGAAATTTACTGAGTATAATAATTAAGAAAATAGTCAACAAATTATGAAAAAAAAGAAGAAGAAGAAAATAGTCAATTTTAGAAAAAAATTATAACTTGTGCAATTGGGGAACTAGAGGAGAATTCTGCTATCCTATGGGCCGTCAGATTTGTGGGGTTAATTCAAAATTATAATTTTGTATAGAGTTCTCTATAAATTATAAAATGACTGCAATTTAAAAGCTATGATCAATAAAAGTTGGGTGATATTTATAATTGATCTAGAAGTTAGTCCAAAATGAAGGAACCATACTCTATTAGGTACACACGTATTTTCTGTACAAATAAAATAAAATTTGTAATATTACACAATACATTAAATAAAGAATGCAACGAGAAAAAGATGTTACATTATTGTAACTCAACACAATATATACCTTAAGTTATCCATTCTCAAAGTAAATGTGTAGTACAAGTGCCTATACTTGTGTATGAGTAATGCACTCTTAATGTAGTGTGTTGTAATTTCGATTTAATTTAGGAAGTAAAAATAGTAAAATTTAATTTTTATAAATCAAATTTTACAAAATTATCATCCAAACATTATTTTTTTATTTTTGCCTTTTTACCTCTCTACAAAATAAAAATATTATTTGTGAAGAAGTGAATCCCAACTAAAGATCATTAGCAATACTTAGGTCCTCATAACTAATAATGTACATCATCTTGATCGGTGATGTGGATCAACAATAAATGAACACATCTTTTTTTAATTACTAAATCAGATATAATAATTAAAAATAAAATAAAAAAACACTTTCACTTTTATTAATGTATATGATCGGCTAGGATGGTATACATCCATGAATAACATAAATATTGCCTATCAAAATATGCCAACTTAATTTATTTGTGTTTATTTATTACTACCATACGGGGCTAAGGTTTGAAGTAAAAGTCAACATATCAGTTATAACCTACAAACAACTAATGTACATAGATATATAAATGCAATTCAAAATATTTTTCAAGAAAATTACTTATAAATTTAAGATAAATTTTATTGTAGCATAGTCAAATGTTTAACAATCATAATAACAAAAAAGTTGTTAAAATTTAAAAGTATCATAAGAAATAAAGAAAAAATAAAACTTATAGCCAATAAAATAATATATATATATATATATATATATATATAATAATAATAATAATATAATAATAATAATGATTAATTGGAGTGTGTTCGGAGCTTTACGAGTTTTAAACACTCTTCCTGAATTTGATATAATGATCCTAAACTTGCCCTAATAAGGATGAGATGGGATGTGATGGGGCGGGGCGTGTTAAATTGACACCCCTACTATCCGATGCCTTGGGGACAAACAATGTGGATGAACTCTGGACAAATGGCTAGATCCTTGCAAGGAGAGTGGCAACTCCAAATGAGAGGCAAAGAATGAAAATAGTAGCTTGTGTGCATGGTCTTCCGCATTAAATGCGCAATAGTGTTACCCTCCCCTGAAGTGATTGTAGCATTTAATGCTTATGCACTAGATTATACCAGTGTGCTTCACGTGATTTCCTTTATGGACGAATACATCTTCTAGACGAGTGATGCTATTGGATGAAACTGAATCTTCAAGACAAGAACACATTGTTGGATTTCTAATTGAAGTAGAAAACTAGGGTCTTGGGTCAAATCCTCAATAGATTGTTGGAATTGCTTGTGGATTCACGGTCAAGTTAAACTCTAGACGATTCTAAGCACAATTAATCAAACTAAATGGTTTGAAATCCGAAGGACATATGGCGCTGCTAATTGTATGTGGGTCCCGAATGTGGCCGAAATTATTTTGAGTGCAAACAGGCATACCCACCCTTAGCTGGGGGAGGTCGATCTTCAACTCCCCACACCCTATATATGCAAAAAGGTAAATGTCACCACTCTGACAGAAGGAGATCGCGACTTCACCCTTACTTAAGGAGGAATAATGTTATTTTTGGAAATTCCTCCAATATTCCAAATTATCTAAGTATTTCTCTGCGAGCCAAAATGGCATAACAACCACCTCCACCTAAGAATGGAAGGTAAAGAGAAGTTATAACTTTGATAAAAGAGATATCACCTATGTTTGAGGAGTCGTAATGCCTTTAGTTAATTCTAAGGACATCCAAATTGCATTATGTCTTTTGCGTTGGACTTTTATGACTTTTTCTTTTTCTTTTTATCATATAATTCCCATAAAGTTACAACCCTCTGAGTTGAACTTCCAAAGTTACATTTATTTATAAAAATGCCATTATCAAGCTAAGTGTGCCAATCCTTACTTTGCAAAGCATGGCAAAACCCCTTGCCTCGGAACAACTATCAGGGGGTTGACACCTGCTCACATAGGGCCCATTTGGATCGTGATATGTTTTAGGCGTTATGGTTTTAGTTGATACGAAAACAACCGTTTTGATATTGGAGTGTTTTTAGTAGAAATTGGAACCATGTTTGATAACGACTGTTTTGTTTTTAATAATTCGACATAAAAAACATGAAAACGCGTTTGGTAATGTCATCCGTTTCAAGGAATCCAAAAATAAAACACATTTGGAAAGTTATTTTTGTTATCAAAAATTCTGAATCAATAACAGGATACCCGTTTGGTAAAGACTGTTTTGCTTTTGTTTTGAATAATTAAATATATATTAATACAATTATAAGTTTATATGTAATAGTTCATTTTTTTTATGATTTGAGATAATTTGTTAATTTTTTTTTTAAAAAATCTCCATTAAAGAGTTGGGGAAAAAAAATTATGAATAAATTTACATGTATAAATAAGATCA